AAATATTAGCATTAAAAAGAAAATAATTTTCCTTTAATATGAAACTATAAACTTTTTAGATATAATTAAAGAAATGATTCTACATTTTTAACATCAGAATCTACGATTTGTAAAATAGTCTATAATCATAATAAGCTATTAAACTTTAACCTTTATAATTTTATATATATCAAATATTAATTTCATTAATTAACAGATATTTAATCTCTAAAATAGAAGTATATAACTTTGAGTTAGTAAATGAAGACTTTTCAAGAAAAAACCTCTTAATTAATAAAGAATCTTAGATTGTTACAAAGTATAATAAATTCCTAAATGTTCTAATGACTTCTCTTATTTATTGAAACTATGTAAGTAAAGAATTTAACTTTTAGAAGTAGAATTCTGATTATCAAACACTGTTAATGTGAATTTAGATTAGAGTTTACAATTTGACCATTAGTAATAGATAGTGCGAATTCTACCTCTTCCTTTAAGAATAGAGTTCCAATTTTTTTCAATTTTTACTTATTTAAGTGATGATATATGAGGAAATAGATAAATTTTCTAACTAATTAATAATTTAAGTTTATATAATAAAGTTATGATGATTGAAAAATAACATTTTGTATTAACAAGTAAAGATATTATATTTTATTAATTTTAGAGACTTAAACGAAAAATCATGTTTACTATTTTGGTTAATACATTTTTCAAATTTATGATCAATGTTAATTGAACAGAAAAAAATTGATGAAAAAAAATTAGAACTATTCAATAAATTAATCAATAAAAACGGCAAAAAACCAAGTGGTTTTAGAGGTCAATATTATACTCTTTTTTAGATAAGAATCTTTTTAGGGAAAATTTGCTATCTTGTTAATATATCTCTTGACCATCAATTTGCTTGATTAGTATTTATATAAATCAAAACATAGAATAAATAAATTCATCTTTGTGCAATACATAAATTAATTATATCATTATTTATGCCTTAAGAAGATTATGCTTTTGCATTTTTGAAATTTAAAGCTATTTAAGGCAACTAGGTTAAATTGATAACAGCCTCTTATTAATTAACAACTTTAATACTTAATTTCTCCTGAGATAAATTTGATACAGGAAGTTTAAATAAAAATTAGTCGACCTTATATGTTAGCAAATAATATCCTGAAGTTTTAAATTAAGGAATTATTTCTGATAATTTTTTTCAATATTACAAAACTATATCTTATTAATCTTGTATGTCATTAAAAATCTCTGTAAAAATAGATCAAGATCAAAATACTAATTAACAATAATAATAAAAAAAACAAATCCATAATTTGTGATTGAACAGCAGATAAAAAATGGAACTAAATGTCTCTATGAACTTAAGAGAATTATGAAACCTATCAAACTTATGAAACCTAATAAACCTATGAAATCGTAGGAATTCATTGAACTGTGGAAACCTGATGAATCTAATTCATTTTTTGATATAAATGAATGAATGTGATTTTGAATTTAGACCTATCGATTCAAAGCTTAATCTAATAAAGAGAACTATAAGAGAGGAAATCAAATGAGAGAATTGAGATGTAGTATAATTATATTTATTAAATTCGATACTTCTTGATCTTAAAATAAGAATTATGAATTTCATAAGTTAATAATTCCAACTTATTATAAATGATTTATTTGTTATATTAAATAAATTTATTTTAAACATATTCATTAATAGAGGAATTGTAGAAAATTTACTATAAATATCATTCAATTTTATTATAATGTGTTTACTATTAAAATAATGGTTGAACAAAAAGAAATAAACCAGATATAATTGTAT